GTGCTGGACTGGCACCACTGCTGCCAACCCCGGCTGTGCCAGCCCCGGGAGCTGACATTTCCTCAGGCAGCGCTGGGAGAAAGGGATTTTCCATATTCCCCAAAGTCCATCAGCGTCCCCAGTTGAAATATCCAAGCTCTTTTCACTCGTGGCCCACAGAAATAAAGGTACCAGGTTTTCCAGGCAGGCTCTCCAGGAGTGAGACCTCAGCCCAGAGCTGCTTTTCATGCTGCTAGGACTCACCCTCCTGCCACCCTGTTCCCCTTCTCACCAGCTCTGAGAAGAAGGATTTGAGGCAGTCTGAGCTCAGCCAAACCCTGGCCAAAGGGTTAAATCTTGGGATCTAAATGCATAAAAAAATAATGTTTTCTTTGCAGTGTGAGTCATCAGTAATTCTATATTGTTTGTGTTCTCTTTATTGTGACCTTTCATCTCTGAATCCTTTTTTTGTTTCCCTTTCTCTCCTGTCCTTCCCTCCACCCTTGCTCACTTGCTTCCTTCTTTTTATTTCTCTCTCTCCCTATGTATCTTTCCTTTCTTTTTCCTTCTGTTTTTTATGAATCCGTGCCTCTGTAAAAATCTGTCCAAATATTTACAAAAGGAAATGCTGGGTTGTGAAACTGAATTCAGAGAAAATGTTACACATGCCGAAGAAATGCATCCAGCACGGTTTCCAAATGTTCCCACAAGCATTTTTGTCCCGTGTCTCAAGTTCTGGGGCTCGATACTTCGTACCTTTATTCAGGCAAAACTTGCACTGAGCAGGCAGCGAGATCCAGGCTGGGGTCTGTTCCAGGTGCTGTAATTCTGGAGTGGTTCCATTTGATTGTGGCCATGGGTGACTGGTTAAAAAGCCTGAAGAACCAGTGGGACTGGGTAAGTGCTTTGTGCAATGGGCCCGTTCCAGGCCAGGGGTTGTCGTCACTTGTCACCGAGCTGGGACAAACTGGCATGGCTGTCAGGCAGAGCAGAAGCTCTCTGCAGCTCTGTCATCTCCAAAAAACACCAGCCAGGCTGCACGGGGAGAGCCCTGGTCCCTGCAGGAGCCAGGACAGGTCTCAGCTCCTGCTGAGACCAAAAAAAACCCCACACTCAGCTGTGCCATGATCCATGAAGTCATTTTCCCAAGAAGTCCTTAATGCTCACACTCATGTCATCATGTCCTCATGTCCTCATGTCCTGGGACATGTTTTGGCAGAGGAACAGGGAACTGTTTGATCCCCGGGGATAATGGGAGTGGGTCCCATCACCTCCCACCCCCACAGTCCCCGCTCGTGTTTCTATTCTTGCCCTCACAAAGGCACCGTGGCCCGGCGCAAACACGGATTGTTTTGGAGGAAGGGGTTAATTTTGTATTTCCTGGCTTTTGTTAGGGCAGGAAAATGAACCCTTTAGCAAGCTATTCAAGGCTGTACGAGCTTCTAAAAGGCACTTCAGGCCTGTTTTGTATTCTGCTTTCTTGCGTTCTTAAGGCAGGTTTATTTAAGAAAAGAAAACAAAAATAAAGCAAGGAAATAGCCAGCCCAGGATTGTGAGTGATTAAGTACACACTGCCACATGTGATGAATTTTTTTCTTCCTGATTTACACCGGGTATAAACAAGACCAGATTCCAAAGCCTCACAGTTACATAAGTGCATTGAAAAGCAATTATCATTGTTGTGGAGATAAATTCCCTTTGTGCAAAGGCCTCGGTGGGGTGTCATCCCTGCTCTGGCTCAGAGCAGCCAAGGTACTGGCCCAAGCCCTGGCTCATTTTCAATATTTGTGTGGTGCTGGTTAACATCACGATGAGAAAAGTGGATGTCATTGAGAGCACATTGTCCCTTGGCTGGGCAGGTGGCAGGCCTGGAAATTTCTTTAAACTCGGGAAAAATGAAAATGAAAATGAAAATTGAAGATGTCAGACTCGGGGGGGAAAAAAAAAATCTCTGTTTTTTAGATTTGTGGGATGCTAAGAAGGGTTTAGGATAAGGAGAGAAAAGCCTGTCAGTGGCACAGGGATACCTGTGAGCCAGACATGGGGTGGAATAGATGCTCTTTATTCCCTCCCAGCCCAAACTATGCTGTGATTTCATCATTCTAAGGATGTCCCCAGTTCCTAATCCCACAGGGCTTCTCCACTGTGGCTGGACAGACTCTTTGCCTCTCCCATGCCCCTGCCAGGAGATGCCTTAAATCGCTCCCACATCACACTCCAAAGGAGAAAATTGAAGCAATTCCTGGTACAGAAATCTCCGTGTCCGAGGTCCATTTCCTCCAGGAAAAATGACGAGCACAGCCCTGTCGTGTGGTCATCTGTCGTGCTGGCTTGTGCTGCAAGAAGCTGGCAAGGAATCCATCCCGGAGAATTCCTGCTGCTCATCTCCTCAGGAGGATCTGGGCAGGCTGGTGTTGCACAGATGATGTGCAAGGTCACCGGAGCTCGGTGATGTCACATCTTTTGAGGTGCTGGCCGGGAGCACGTCCAAGGGGGACAGATGGGGCTGCTGCCACCAGGGGTGATGTCCCTGTGGTGGGACACGTGTCACCTGCCCAGCTGGTGGCTCCTGAGGGGTCCCTCTGCCAGTGGAGGCTGGTGTGATGGAGAGGAATCATTTCCCAGCACCCAAGTGTGTGAGTGTTCCTCCTGCAATCTGCTTCCAGCCCGCTGCTGAAAGAACAACAATAAATAAATGGAATGAAAAGTGCAATCCTGTGTTTATTTTAAAGGAACGTGTTGAAATAACAGATTCACTTTGAGGCTGCAGTTCTGGCAGAAAAACCCAGTGCTCAGCAGAGCAGAGACAATCCTGTGGGTGAGCCAGAGCTGGCACTCGCCCACCCTTGCCCTTGGCCATCCTCCTCCTCCTGGACCCCCTTGGGGACCTGGAAAACCCTGGAGATCTCAGCTGGACACAGAGCCCGGCTGGGCTGAGGTGGCCAAAGCCTGGGGGACCTTGGGGGAGCAGAAAATGTGAGGAGTGATGGGTGGGAGCTGGTGGGGCAGGAGCGGGGAGAGAGAGGAGCCCTGGGGTGAGGGATGGGTGGATGCAGGGCTCTCCTCCAACAGGAGCAGCTGCAGGGGGAAGTGAAAACAGAACTGCGGAATGGGGAGAGCAAGGAGCAGCAGGGCCGAGCGGGGGGAAGAGGAATTGCTGGGGAAGGGGCTGGGGTGGGACACGGGTGATGGGGAGAGAGGGCCGGGAGGGCTGGGGACACACGGAAGGGACACACGGAGGGGACACCCAGAGGGGACACCCAGAGGGGACACACAGAGCAGAGCAGGGGAAGTGGCAGCAGCGCTGACTGGAAGCTGAGTAAGAAACACCCGAGTGGCTCGGTGGAAGTCAGTCATCCACAGAAAAAATGAAAATTTTTGGGAAGTGCTGATGCACCGAAGAGGGGGGGAAAAAAAAAAGAGAGCTCCCACCAGTGCCCTGCTGGTTACTGGGCAGCCCCGACCCCTGGGGGGGTTCTCAGTGGGGAAAAATGAACTTTGCAAGTGTCTGCTGTGTGGTTTTTTTCCATATCCATGAAACGTGATGGGAACAGCTCTCAAATATGTGTTTACATTATAAATAGATACACAAATGTATGTGTACACATATATATTTATGTGTGGGTTTGTCTGTACATGTAGCCATGCCTATGCATGAATACAAATATATGTATGTGTATGCTGGTTCCTTTAGACAAATATTTTAGGAGAATAATCACAGCCTCATCCAAAGCTCGACATCCCCACGCTGCTGCTCCTTGCCTTGAATTCTGTGGGAAAGGAGGGAGCAGCCAGTGCTGCAACAGAATCCTGCCTGTCCTCTGCTGCCCGTGCTGGGGGATCAGCCCAGGGCATGGGGGATGTCTTATGCAGAGTTTTTCATCAACCATATATATATGTGTATATAAATATAAATTATAAAAAATAAAAATAAAAATAAAAATAAAAATAAAAATAAAAATAAAAATAAAATAAAAATAAATATAAATATAAATATACACACCCCCATACAGATAAATATACACATGGGAAAGGAGGGAGCAGCCAGTGCTGCAACAGAATCCTGCCTGTCCTCTGCTGCCCGTGCTGGGGGATCAGCCCAGGGCATGGGGGATGTCTTATGCAGAGTTTTTCATCAACCATATATATATGTGTATATAAATATAAATTATAAAAAATAAAAATAAAAATAAAAATAAAATAAAAATAAATATAAATATAAATATACACACCCCCATACAGATAAATATACACACACATATATACAGGTGTATATATACATATTTATAAATGTATGCAGAGATTTATACACATATTTTTAAATATATAGCCACAGATATACACATAGATACATAGACATAGGCACATATACATACACACCCCCATAGATACATACATAGGTGTATATATAAAAATGGACATATATATGTGAATATATGTGTAGGTATACACATGTATATATACATATATATTCTTTATATAACATATATGGGTATATATTCTGTATAATTATTTATTTTATATGTTTGTATATGTGTATATATACATATGTATTTACATATTATATTTTGGTATATTTATTTCTTCTATATGTTTATATATTTTTATATTCTTATATGTTATTATATAATATATATTTTTTTATATATATTTACACATATATTTTAATACATTTACATATATATTTACATATATTTTAATGTATTTTTTATATATTTACATATTTTTTTATCGGGGAGGGGGGTGTGTGCACTCCGGCCGTGTCTGTGCGCGTCTGTGCGCGTACCCGTGTGCACACGCGTGTCCAGCCGTGTCCAGGTGTTCACACACACCTGCGCGCGCCCCCGCTCCCGCGCGCTCCCGCCCGCCCCACCGCCGATGACGTCACGCCGGCGGGGCCAGGCGCGCCCGCGGGTGGCGCGCGGCCGGGGTGACGTCACCCATGCCGGCGGGCGGCCCCGCCCCCCCCACTGCGGCCACGTGACGCGGCCCCATTGAGAAAACGCCGTCCCGCCGGCGCGGCCCCGATATAAGGGGCGGGAGCGGCCGAGCGCGGCCGGGACACCGGGACACTCGGGGACAGCGGCACCTCCGCGCACACCGCCCTGCCCTTCCTCCCTTCCACCCAACCTCCCCTCCGCTGCCCGGCCATGGTGAACCTGCGGGTGTGCGCGCTGGAGTGCGAGGCGCTGCGGGCGCTGCTGCAGGAGCGCGGCGCGCAGTGCCTCGTCCTCGACTGCCGCTCCTTCTTCTCCTTCAACGCCGCGCACATCCGCGGCTCCTGCAACGTCCGCCTGAGCACCATCGTGCGGCGCCGCGCCAAGGGCGCCCTGGCTCTGGAGCACGTCCTGCCCAACGAGGAGCTCCGCGCCCGCCTGCGCCAGGGGCTCTTCCACACCGTGGTGCTGCTGGACGAGCGCAGCGCCGACCTGGAAGTGCCCAAGCGCGACAGCACCATGCTGCTGGCGCTCGGCACCCTCTGCAGGGAGGCCCGCGGTGCCCGCATCTGTTTCCTCAAGGGTGAGTGGCGCCGGAGGGGACCGGGGAGCCGGAGGGGACCGGGGAGCCGGAGGGGACCGGGGAGCCGGGCCGCGTCGCCCCGCTCGCCCGCCGGCCGTGCGCTCACCTCTCCCCGCTCTGCCCCCGCAGGAGGATACGAAGCCTTCTCGTCCGCCTGCTCCGAGCTCTGCACCAAGCCGGCCGCCCCCGCCGGGCTCAGCCTGCCCCTGAGCGCCAGCCCCGCGCCCGGCAGCGCCGACTCGGGCTGCAGCTCCTGCGGGACCCCGCTCTACGACCAGGTGAGCGCCGGGGGCCGCGGGCGGAGGCGCCGGGCGGGGAGCGCGGGGCGCCGGCCGGGGCTCACCGCCGCTCTTCCTCTCTGTTTGCAGGGCGGGCCCGTGGAGATCCTGCCGTTCCTGTACTTGGGAAGCGCCTATCACGCCTCCCGCAAGGACATGCTGGACGCTTTGGGCATCACGGCGCTCATCAATGTCTCGGCCAACTGCCCCAACCACTTCGAGGGGCACTACCAGTATAAAAGTATCCCCGTGGAGGACAACCACAAGGCGGATATCAGCTCCTGGTTCAACGAGGCGATCGATTTCATCGGTAAATGAGCTCTTTTTGCAATCCGCGCCTTTTCTGGGTTAATGTCCCCTGGGAAGTGATTTTTGGAAGTTTTTTCCGCGGTAAAACATCCGCTTGAGGTTGGGGAATAACATTCCACTGGGAAGATAAACTCGGGGACCATTTCCATTAGTTTAATTCTACTCACAGGCGTAATCTTAGCTTCGTAAAGCTGTTTGAAACCTTGATTCAAGAGGCACTGGTCTTGCAGAAAAGAGTGAATTTAAGCGGATCAGTATTAAAGTAATCTTGCAAGACTGCTAAAGTGACCTGGAGGAGTTATTAGTATAATTGGAATTGGAGCCCAGAGTGAAAATAGCTGCTTTCCTCGGGACAAAGACTCCCTTTGTCTCAAAAGCTCCGGGTGCACCTATTAGGCTAAGGAAGGGGACGGATTAAAGAAATGTAAAGCAGGAATCTGTGCTTTTCCCACCTCTGGAAGCAGTGAGACTTGTTTGCTAACTGTGTGCTTTGATTCTTTCAGACTCGGTGAAGAACGAGGGAGGAAGGGTCTTTGTGCACTGCCAGGCTGGCATTTCCCGCTCAGCCACCATCTGCCTTGCTTATCTCATGAGGACCAACAGAGTCAAACTGGACGAAGCCTTCGAGTTTGTCAAGCAGAGGAGAAGCATCATCTCCCCGAATTTCAGCTTCATGGGGCAGCTGCTTCAGTTCGAGTCGCAGGTCCTGGCCCCCAACTGCTCAGCAGAAGCCGGGAGCCCCGCGATGTCGGTGCTGGACAGGGGGGCATCGACCACCACGGTCTTCAACTTCCCCGTCTCCATCCCGGTTCACACCACGTCCAGTGCTTTAAACTACCTTCAGAGCCCCATCACTACGTCCCCGAGCTGCTGAAAAGCAGGTGAAGAACGTGGCCAGGACTCTGACTTGCTGTCTCAGAGGTGCAATAACGACAGGGACAGTGGCGCTTGTGTTTTGTGGGGAGTCGCTGGCGTGTCCCAGAGCGGTGTCCATGGAGAGGAGCTCGCCCAGTGCCAGAGGAACCAGGTGTTTCTGACTTCTCAAGCAAATGTCTGGATGTCTGCACAGAGATCAAAGGACATTGGCTCTTCCTGAGCTGTCCCTCCTTGTCTTCTGTCTGTCCCAAGCCTGCTCCGTGTTTAGTAGCATGCTCACCAGTATTCCCATTCCTGGACACTTTGAGCAACACTGATGCTGTCCCCTTTTATATGACAGTCCTATTTATTTATTTTTACATTAGTGCATTTTTGTTGGGTTTTTTGTTCTTTTTTTTTTTTGCCTTCACACACGTAAAGTTTCAGTTCTAGAGAAACCAAATACCTCAGTATTTTTTGGTACAATAATCCTGTGTGTGTATATCTGTCAGCTCTTCTTGTTTCCCAAGCACTGACATGAAAGCACCAGGCGAGTGCTTTTTTTTTTTTTTTTGAGTTGCCAAGGGTTGTATGTTTGCTGATTTATTTATGATGTGAAATAATATATTTCTTCTTATGAAGACATAGTTTTGTTACATGATTATAACCTTTTTTATACCAAATGGAATAAATTATGATATTTCTATTCATCTGGATGATATCTTCTTTAAAATACTGCATTTCACAGTCCCAAAACTCATGTGAAGCTCCAGGGTGTAGAGCTGTAATTTTCAGCTCTTCTAGCCTCGGGTCTTGACTGAGAAAAATGGGTTTAAGCACAGTAATTGACTAGAAACTACTGCAGGTTCTTAACCTGAGCTTTTCTTTGTCCCCGTGTAATTGTGTGCAGTGGCAGGGAGCCAAGGCTGGCTTCTCAGCTGGGAGTGGATTTGGCTGCCCTGATGGCTGAAACAGCTAGAACCAGCTGAGACTTGGGCACTGGGCTACACTCAATTTAAAATAGTCCTTCTCCTAAGAAGGAGGAATAGGCTTCCTTATTCCTTGTTTACTTCTAATGCTTGAAAGGTTAAGTCTAAAAATTAACCTGTTAGTAACAGATCTCTAAGGCTTGGCACAAACTCACAGAGTGTTTTTCTTTTTCTGTCCCACCTCCTTAAATCCTTTTTGCAACTCAAACTGCCCCTGATGCCTGGAGTGAGGTATTTGGCTGGCTGGGCTATCTCTGTAAACAAACCAGGGCATGACAAGGGATCAGGTAACCAGCAGCTCACCCATTTTCTTACCCAGACCCAAATAAATTCTTTCCTGCTGGAGATTATCACTAGAGTGACTTGGATCTGGTGTTTCTGTTGGGGCAATGAGGAGAGTTGATGTGGCACAGCCAAAGCCAGGCAGGGGAGCTCCAGCAGCATCTCTGGGCAGGAGCAGGATGATGGGCAAGCAAAGGGTTCCTGGGACAGATCTGCACCTCCCGTGGGCTCTGTGGGGCAGGACAGCATCCCTGCTGTGACGTCCCCTTCCCAGGGAAGCTGAGGGCTGTGGGATGCAGCTGGAAGCTTGGTTTCCTAGGCAGGGTAGTGCTGGTAACAGGAGAGGGATGCTGGGGGAGCAGCGGGGTTTGGGTTTCCTGTGCTCACTCCAGAAGGGAGCCACCAGTTCCTGCATATCTGATATTCAGAGAGTCAAATCCAACTTTTGCACCATCAAAAATGGCTTTGCTCGGGCACACACCAGGTTGTGAGTGTAAAATCAAGGAATTTAAGCAGCTGTGATCTTGAGTGTACAGGGGAAGGTTTTTGTGAGCATAAAGCAGCCGTGCTCTCGTAATACAGCAAGATGAGCAAAGCACCCCAAACTCCTGCAAGTTACCTGGGGTATTAATGGCGCTAAAATGCAGGCCTGTTCTCCTGGGAGAAGGTGCCCTTGGAGGATGGGATGATGCACTGCTGCCTCTGAAGCTCTTCCCTGCGAGCTGCCCCTCTGAACAGCTCTGTCGTCAGCGCCGCGTCAGCCCTCAGCCACTTTCAACCTGACACCGAGGCAGGGAAAAAATGGAGCAGCTAAAAGAGGAGAGATCCCTGGGCACTGAGAAGTGAAGTTAGAAACGTTTATTTCCCTGAAGTACCCGAACCTCAAAGTGAATGTCCTCCCCAAATCCTGTCCCGTGCTGCAAATCCTGCAAAACCCCTTTGTCCATGGAAAATCCCTTAGCACCTCGAACCTGCTGTCCTGATTAAATATGCAAGACTGTCTCTGAATACGTGAGCCTTTTTACACCTGCAGTAACGGGTGGAACAAACTTTCACCTTCAAAGCAAAGCAGAGCTTGTTCAGTGGAAAAATACAACCTTGGCAGCCCTGGCCCTGCAACTGATAAAAAAAAAAAAAAAATCCTGCCTGTTAATCGCAATTCAAACAGAAATCCGCTCCCTGACAGCCGCGGGAGCTTGTTTATGTGTTTCTTGGAACAATAAAACTCATTACCTGGCAGCAGATCAGCTTTTAGAACCCAAGCAGGCACCTGACAGAGGGGTGCAGAGAGAGCTGCTTCAGCACAAAGGCTGCTGTGAGCCGGCAGGGCTGCGGTCCCTGCCAGCCCCTCCGGCTCCGACAGCCCGTGCCCTTTCCCGAGTCTTTATCGGGATCCTTCTGCTGGTCCCTGTAATCCGACTCTGCCCAGTCTCAGACTCCTGCGAGCTTTTTGTGGATGGAGATCGCACCCAGATCCCAAACTGCTCCCGGTGTGAGGGGAGGACGTGGGGGAGAGGGAGACCAGAGTGAGGGTGCCAGATGTCCCCTCAGTGGGACAGCTTTGGGCAGGTGGATGGGATCAGCTGGGAGGGATGGGGAAGGAGCAGCATGAGGGAGGAGGAGGAGGAGGATGCCTTGGTGGCACAGCCAGGCTGAACTTTGTGGAAGAATCTTTACTTCCCACCCCTTATTTATTCTCCCAGCTCTGCTGCTTTGTTTGATTGGAATATTAAGGCTCGCAGTTCACCCCGGTTTAGGGCTTTAAATTCCCGTTTCTCTGCCTCCAACAGGAGCTGGATGTCCCCACCCCGTGCTGCTGGCAGGACTCAGCTGAGACCATCCCATGGTATCCAATCCCCAATCCTGGCTCACAGCGGGCGTGTGTGGAGCTTTCAGTTTGTATAAATCTGCAGCTCTCCAGTTGCATACATCCCCATGGAAACCACGAGGAGTTTCCCCTCGCTGAGGACGGCACTAACATCACTTCCTGCTGCTGACAAACCAATTTGTCATGAAGTGATAAAAGGCATGTTTTTTGTTCGCGGGAACTGGCTCCGGGCTTTGTTCCTCCCAAGCCAGAGGCTGCTCACCCGCCCCGAAGGCAAACAATGGCCATTGTGTGCCCTGCAGAGCAGCCACGGGGACACATTCGGAGCCCTTCGTGTCCCCAAAATGCCACCAGAACGCCCCAAGCTGAACACAGGTCATGGCAGCGCTTAGCACAGCAGCCACAGATGTGTCCCCACAGCCCAGGGTGTCCCTGGCCAGCGCACTTGGGGACACAGCACGGGAGCCCTGTGTGCTGCCCCCAGCAAGATGCCACGCTCAGGGGACACAGCCTGCCCTGTATCACATGGCAAACAGAGCCAGGGCTCCAGATTAGATGTGTCTTGGGTAATTCCCTTGTCTCAAAGCCTCTGCCTGTTGTCATCAGCGCTGGAGAGGTGCGGGGTGTACTCAGGCTTAGGGACTATCCTGAATTAGTCACCCCAGGATCAGACTGGCAGGGCCACAAGGATGTGTGATGCCATTACGTTGAAAAGAAAAGAACATTACAACCAGATCACACACAGGCAAATCTTACTGGCCTGGTTATCACCTGGGTTTTTTCCTCTGCCTGGCTGCAGGGTAGCAGAAAGGGCACTGAGAGTTGTTTGGAGGTGATGTTTAAGTGCAGCCCACTCCCCAAAGGCAGGATGGGGAAGGAGAAAAGGTCGTGGTGTGTGACTGTCACAGTGTGGTGAGAAATCACAACACCTCAAAGCCCATCTAAACCTCTTCCTTATCCCTTTGCTGGCCCAGCAGCAGCGTCTGTGACAGACTCAGTGCAGCCAGGGGGACCCTGCTCAGGGCTTTGGCTTCCCCAAATCTGCTCCCATCCAAGGCTGGTGCGAGCTTGGGAAAACAGTTAAAACTGTTTTTACTCAAATCCACTGGTGCTGAAAGAACAAATCAGTGAGATTTGTGCCGTGTGTGGCTCCTCACAACGCCCTGCTCCTCTTCACTCCAGGGCAGAGCCAGAGGCTGCAGCTGATGGAGGCTGGCAATCCCGGAGGGGCACGGCCCAGCTCGGTCCTGTCAGCACCACCAAGGGTGTGAAAGGCTGAAGGGGACCAAGGTATTAAAGGAGACACTGGGGAGAAGCAGAATGTTCTGGCATCGCTGTGAGGACTTTGAGCTGCTCGGGGCTGTGGCCCTGTGACACTGAGCACAACCTCCAGGAGATCAGCCCAGGGACCTGAGGGGAAGCAGCTGAGTGGCTCTGCTGCTGGGCTGGGTGAGGAATTCCAGGTTTTCAGAGCTGTTTCCCACATTGGAAGTGCAGTTGTACAACCCTGTGCCTGTCTGGAGAGCTGTGCCAAGGTCCTACCTGGACCTGACACTGTCAGTCTGGCACAGAGCTAGCTGGCTCTGTTACTGCAAGAAAAACAGCCAAAACCAGAAAGCAGCTTTATTTTTTACCTTTATATGGTGTGAGCATCCTCCCCTCCAGGTGTGGGGTTGATTTTTTCCCCTTGCCGTGGGAGTTTTCACTCCCAGGGCTCTGTAGCTGCCCTGGGAGGCTGCTGTGCCCCCTGGCAGTGCCAGGCTGGCTGTGCTGAGCCACCAGAAGGGGCTCAGGCTGGCTGAGGTTGTGCTGGGGGTTTCCTGAGCGGGGTTCTCAAGCTGCAGCATTTGCATGCGTTTCCTGCTGACTCGCCCTGGGCTTCCCCTCGCAGCCCTGGCCCGCTGGGGAGGGGGTGAGATCAGAGATCAGACACCGTGGGCAGCTCCAGCCCCCTCCGGGCACGGCTGAGCTCCAGCTGGGCGCCCAGGGCTGTGGGGCTGTGCCTGGGGGTCTGGGGGGGCTCTGGAGCCAGCACAGAGGGAGTCTGGCAGGCAATGCTCATGGATAAATTTGGTGTCTGGCAGGGGATGATTGTGGATAAATTTGTCTCAGAGCCAAATCTAACTCCCACCTGTACTCATATGATAAACTACAGTGTCATTTTTAGACTTCTAATTTCTGTGATAATTTAATTTTATTTGAAAGGAGGTTTTTTTTGTTCTCCAGCAGTTGTGGGAGAGATGGCTAATGATGGCTTTTTTCAGGTCTTTTACACACTGGGAAGAAGTGTTTTATTTTCAGCATATTCTCAAAATTCTTGTCAAAATATGATCCATGGTAAAATTTTCACACATCAGTATCTTGTTCTTCTTTCAAATCTTGTTAAGGTTTTGTTAATTGGCAGCTGGGTCACAGCACCATGTGGTTTTAATGGCAGGGTTTTCTAATTTAGGAAAGATATAAACTGCACATGTGCATTAACTCTGACAGTCTTTCCTGATGCTCTGTAGTACTTGCAGGCCAGCTGGTAACTTCTGTCCTTTCTTGTTTTCTGCAATGAAATCTTGATGATCGCAGAGATGTGTTTCAGGGATTTTTGGGTGATAACTTAAGAATTACATCAGTTTGCTGTCCCAAAGGCATGTCCATCTTCTCTCTGTGACAGGGACAGGAGCCAGGCAAGGGCTGGAGCTGTGCCAGGGGAGTTCAGGGTGGATTTTGGGAAAGGTTCTTCCCCAGAGGTGCTGGGCACTGCCCAGGCTCCCCAGGGATGGGCACAGCCCGAGGCTGCCAGAGCTCCAGGAGGGTTTGGAACCACTCCAGGGATGCCAGGGTGGGATTTTGGGTCTGTGCAGGACCAGGAGCTGGGCTGGATGATCCTGTGGGCCCCTTCCAGCTCAGGATATTCTGTGATTGTAAGAATCCATCCTGCATATAAACTACAGGACAAAAAGATGGGATCTCTGTGATGTGAAGCACCCAGCACTCATTCCCCTTAGCCAGGGACACTGCTGATATAAACAAGAGGCACAAACTCTGTGTCTGGTGGCTCTTTCTATTTCAATCACCTAGGTGCTGGTTTCAATGTTACATTACAGGATGTTTTCTTGCTCTTTGTTTTTAAAACAAAGCCTGGAGTCCTCCACGTGTCAGCTGCGATAGCATCAGCTGTGACCTCGGGTTGTGTCTGGGCACATGTGGCA